ACATGTGTTACCCTTGGTCCTTGTTGAAATATTAGGCCTGTGAATAGGCCGCTGAAAAGCAGCGGGCGCGCTCCTATCTCAGGCGCTAAGTATCTCCCAGAACACAAAGGGTATCACGTCGGGCGAAGTCACCAAGTTTGTGAGAAATAGAAACCCAATCGGGCAATTTCCAATCAGAATTTTATTATATGATAAAAGCAAATTCAGCGCTGGGTGATCAGGGAAGGGGTTCAACAACTCCCAACGCCTGTCACACCCAAAGAAGATAGTTGTCCTACATTTATTTCCAGCTACTTCATGAATATTCATTATACATAAGCATAAACATTACACATTGTTGAGTCAGACATTCAACAGATGTTTTTCTTTTAACAAGAATATATTGTCAAATCAGACACTCTGCAGATATTTGCTTGCTACAAAGTTATAGATTTCAAGAAAGGTCCTATTATCTAGCATCCATAATATATTGTCAAATCAGACATTCTGCAGATGTTTGCTTGCTACAAAGTTATAAATTTCAAGAAAGGTCCTATTATCTATCTAACTAAACAAAATTGTCTCACTATAAATCCTACACAAGGTAAAAAGGGAGGTGACTTGTTTTATCTCTTTATAGGGCCCCAATTAAGTTTTACGACTTGTTTTTCTTTTCTCTCCAGGTCATATTGACCCTTCACTGTCTCCTCTTAATCAACTCGAATTATTTTCTCAATTTATCACAAACCTAAACCTCCCCTGGCGCACCGTTACACTATGTCCTCTCAGCTACATCTCAGCGATGCCCCGCAACTTTAGACCCTGGTTACCTGGGGCAGAGCCCGGTGCCCACCTGGCTGCACCCTCCTGGCCGGGAGTTGTAGAGAGCGAGGAGGTCTCCCCTGAGCCTCCTCTTCTCCAGGCTGAGCCCCCCCCAGCTCCCTCAGCCTCTCCTCATCACCCTCGTGCTGCAGACCCTTCCCCAGCTTCTTTGCCCTTCTCTGGACTGGAGATGTTTGTACATCAAACATATATGTTTATATAAAAAACTCCACAAAAGAGTATGGTGTAATAAACACTTGAAGAAAAGCACCAAGATCAGTGTTTACAAAGCCATAGTGCTGTCTACTCTCTTATATGGATCCAAATCATGGGTCATCTACCACCACCACCTGCGTCTCCTAGAACGCTTCCATCAACGCTGCCTCCGCACAATCCTAAACATCCACTGGTCAGATTATGTGACCAACACATCTGTTCTAGAGCAAGCAGCTGTCACAAGTATTGAGGCCATGTTACTGAGAACACAGCTGCGCTGGGCAGGACACGTCTCAAGGATGAAGGACCACTGCCTCCCTAAGATCTTGCTTTACGGTGAACTTGCCACTGGCTGCCGCATGAGAGGAGCCCCGAAGAAAAGATACAAGGACTCCCTGAAACAACATCTCAGCCTTGGCCATATTGATCACCATAACTGGTCCACTCTGGCCTCCAATCGGGAGGCCTGGAGACACACCATCTATAACGCAGCTGTCTCCTTTGAGAACACACGCAGGATCACTCTTGAGGAAAAAAGGCAACGCAGAAAGAACCGTGCATTGCAGAATACACCATCTAAGGAGTCTTTCTGCTGTGCCTTTTGCAATCGGATATGTCTGTCACGTATTGGCCTCATAAGCCACCAGCGTGCCTGTAACAAATGTGGATAGAGCCTTCCCAAATCTTCGTTCGCGAAGCCTAGCCATGATGATGATGTTTATATACAAGAGCAGGTGTGTTTAAGTTGGAGCAAAGACAACCCTGGTGTCAAAAACTGTCAGGCAAGACCCATTTCACACTTCAAAAGAAACCCCCGCAGCTCCCACCTGAGCCCCTGACACACCCCAAATGGACCCATGAACCCCCACCCGGACATGCAGCATCACATAATTCAAGTTATCCCATTCTCTCCTCACTGGGATACATTCCTTACCTCTGGATTCAATAGGCTGAATCAGAACCCACCACATCAACAGAAAATTACTGGGTTTGGCTAGGTTAGTTATTTTGGCAGTTTAAAGAGTGGGGCCAGGTGACTGAAGAATATAAACTAGGAGTAAGACGAAGCCCTTGATTTAAATTAATTTTAAAACCAATTTAAATGTTTTTAAACTAAATTTACTACAGTAAGATTACTCAGTTTCTGTCATCTAATCACACAATTTGCATCCTCTGTAAAACTGCTGAAGATTATTACAAGTCTGCTCCATTTAAATTGTAAAGTTAAACGAACAACATTTTTCACTGATGCTTTTACATATTGGATATTTTCATTATAAATTCTAGCATATTGCAGAAAAAGTATCAATTACCAACAGATCATGAGTTTAAGTGTTGGCCTCTCTTGCATGTAGAGCTTATGAACTTTAAATTCATGAAGCAAAGCCTTCTTTATAGATCATATAGTCTTTATAGTCTTGTTGTTCCTTTATAGTCTTGTTTTTCCTCTCCCTCTCTCATGTTAAAAAAAAAAAGAAAAAAGAAAATAAAGGGGAAAAAAAGGAAAAAAAAAAAACAACAAGAAAAAAGAAGAGAAAAGCACTATGCTGTTTAATTTTTGAAGAAATATTTTCCTAGAAAATACTCCATAGTTCATGTCCAGTACTTAGAAGCAAAAACATTTTTACTCTGACTTAAACATATTTATAAAGGCCTTTTGGGATAAAATGCTGACTTGCTCAGTATATTCAGTGAACAAAATTTACCTTACTGAAAACTTCACATACAGAAACATTTTTGATAAATAACTGTCTAGGACACCACTTCAGGTAAGAACTTGCACATGCAACACTGTTTCTGTGCAAGTTAGAAAAAAACAATTCACAACTTTTTTGATCTGAAACACCCTGCAAATATTTGACAGAGTACTTGATCTCACCCAGAGGGCAGACAACATGTTCTTTGTAAACAAACAAATATCCATGGTAAATAAAGCAAAGGGGTTTTAAACTTGCTTTTAGTGCAGTGCATCTCCAAACAATTCTGTAGTAAATATTCGGACTGGTCTTTGCCAATAATTCAGGTACTACTTTATCATGAAGTGTGAGGTGCTTGTTAACTCAGCTCTTTATTCAGTTGTTTTTGTTTTTCCTTTGAGGTGTACCACGTGTGTTGACTGGCACCTGTGACACAAATCTTTCACTGGCTTTTGCCATCCTCCTTTCTTTGTTTTTAGACAGGTACCAAACATATTTTCTTTTTTGTCTCCTACTCTGTTCTATATAATAATTTACTTTAATTCCTCATTTGCAAATCATGTAGACCTCACACTGAATTTACTTAGCTAAAAACTAAGTAGCCACAGAAAGATAAGCAAAAATAGCACAATAAAATAAGAAAGTTTGATCATCCTCTCCCTGTATACCTTGCACTGTGGCACCCTTATAGAGACAGCAGGTGCACATATATCCTACCTTAACCTACCTTTCTCACATCTTTATGTAGATAAGCCCTTGCAGTTGACAATGTGGTGCAAAAAAAAAGGGGCCACAGTAACCAACATTAACTGGGAATATTTTGGAGGTTCTTTGGACTCTGCTTGTGAAGGACACGGGCATAACCCATCAGTTACAGGTATAGTTATGTTTTAGAAGTTAATTTTTCTGCTATGTTGTATCTAGATTTCCAGACATAGCAGTATTTCAAGTGTGAGGCTGGAAACAATCTCATTGTTCATGAGACAAGTCCCAGCTAAAGACTTCAAGTAGCCATTCTTTGCTCCAGGCTTTGCATAAGTCTGAATAAGAGATTTCACTTAAGGTGGTTAATCGTATTTGCCACACCAGAAAGAGTTAGGAAACACATCCACTGAATTGTTCTCAGCTGCTCTTTTCATAATTTACAAGAGTGTTCATTGTTTCCATCTTGAGTTCAATTTACCTCAATTATTTGGCATGTTACAGAAGAAAAATAAGAAACCTAGGGGTCTTCCACAACTTTCAGAATCATCAGCTCAAGGAAGAATATTTAAAAGCTTTAACTCGGAAAATAATTCTGGAGATACTGTATCTTCAGGAGAAACAAGATGCCTGCCTTTTTCCACACTGTCCATTATGACAAACATGAAATATTCTTTTAACAGTTTCTTTACTTCAACAGAAAGGGCAATAAAAGGAGTTTGAATAAGAGCAGACAGCAATCAAGAATACTAATAAAGCAACAATTCACCTGAACGTAGTTAAAACTAAATGTACCTGGGAACTAATTCTCCTCATGTAGTTTAGGAACTCTTATTTTAAAGTACCTAACGGGTTTGCAATGGTTAAAAAAACCATGCAAATGCCCCCTGAGGCAGGGAAACCTTTGCAATGTGCTTGTCTGCAGTCTTGCAGGGTTTCTGAATGATGGTGTAAACACTCCAATGTGGCTTTTGTGAAGCACAGAAAAGAAAAAAGCTTGAGAAAAATCCGTGTTAGATGCAATTAAGAATAGGATATTACATGCTGAAGTTTAGCTTAACCTTTTCCATATCATAATACTGTCGTGTTCTTCACCCTGGATTTAGGGGCTTTGATCTTATTTGTAGCTGGAACTGATGCCTCTGACTGTGCAGACATACAGAAATAATCTTTTACTTGTTCTTAGAGTCTCTAAGTGACAGAAAGTCTCTAAATAAAAGAACGGAGAAGATAGAGATTAGACATAAGAACAAAACTTGAAGTAATATTCTTCTCTGTGTACCCCTTTCCAATTGCAACAAAATCAATTTACATGAGGAATGATCGTAGCTGCACTAATCAGGACTCAAGAATCAGATTTAATGGTGGATACAGAAGTCTTTCTTCACAAGAAATGGAACAGAGAATGTGACTGCATTAGAAGTGGTACCCTTAAGGATAACACTCTTTTGTCATTGCAATTATGGTGATGAGAGGAATACACATTTTTTTAATTGATATTTAAAAAAAAAAAAATGTTGAGAGGTGTATGTTCCTAAACAACGTATGACTTCAAAGATACTCAAATCAAAGTTATGGCACAGAGAACTTTTCAAAATTTTTATTATATTGCATAAGGTATAACATTTTACAAATCTTAGTTACATTTTCAGCAACAGATACACTGATACTGAATTTAAATACAGAGATGAAAAGACACCTCTGACAAAATATAAAAAGGTAGAAATACTGCAAACCAGGATGCCGAATATCAGGAATGCTTTACATAAACAATATCTATACCAGGGGGTTTTTGAAAATGATTGCCAAGGTAATGAAGTGTTTGTTGAAGATAAGGCTCCAAAATGCAAGGTGGGGAGCACAGTCAGTGCCATCAGTTCCCCTGCCTTGCACCATCCAGAGCCAGGCTTTGTATGAACTCCATGCTCTAATGAGCACTAAAAACTGCCTTTCTACACAATAACATGTAAAAATATTACTGTTCTAACATGGGCTGAAGTGCAACAAGTGCTTCAAAGGAATTAAATCAGTTAACTGGGAAATAAAGTACCAGGACATTTTGGGGAGAAGGAATTATAGGAATGTTCAGCAAGTCTTAAACCGACAGAAAAAAAATGCATTTGGTAAAACAGTTTTCAAGCTTAGAGTGCTAACGAGAAAAATAATGACACAGTTTTCCCCTGCCAGTCTTAAAAAAAAAAACCTGAAGTTTTTTTTTTTGTTTTGTAATCAGAACACAATGAATGCTGCTTTTAAAAGAATATGAAGCTCAGATTCAAATCATTAACCCCCCCCTTCATATAAATTCTTTAACACAAATGTAGCTGCCTACTGTTAGAACTTGGCACCAATTAGTGCCAACTACTACAAAAGAATGCTCATTTTAACTCTGTAGGCATAGTACTGTGTTTTGCATAATTCTACTGAATTTAAAAAAAAATACTTAAAAACCAGAAGCTTAGGTTATATAAACAATGCAGATTAGGCCCCAAATTGAGATAAAAATTGATTCTAGAAAATAAGACTTAAATACCCATCTCCATAAAGTCTGTGCTGCTACTGGCAAGGAGGTTAGCAGCTGAAAAAAAAGGATTTTTATATTAGTTTTTATATATAAACATATATTAATTTCATTTTTGAAGTTAAAATCCCAGTCAGTTTGATATCTGTAAGTCCAGTGCCTTCAAAACACTCACTCTTGACATATGAAGTTGAATCAAATCCCATCTGTGCATTTTTTAAAAGATACTACTGTTCAGATTGCTAAAGATATATTTTTTTTAATTTCTTTTCAAACAGAAGATACAAAAACTAGGGCTTACAACAATTACCATCATCATCAACATGCAGGAGTCAGTATTCCAACATTAAAAAAAACCACTAGATCTGTCTTTTAAAATATTATAAAAGCTACATAACTGTATGAATCGAGGCTTTTTTTGGCTAACAGAAAAAAAAAAAAAAAGCAAAATGTGCTTTTCAGATAGTCAGGTGTCCCACTGATAAAATAAGTCTGATGAAAGAGAAAGGCACTTCAGCAGGCTAATTAATCTTCAGATTTTATTTAATATGCAGCACTGGATGTAGTGTACTGCCTTTTCATCTGCACAGTGTTAGAGCAGCAGTGTGGTGAACCTGTGCCACTTTTGAACCAACCAGAAGAGTTCAGACTGGTGCCCCTTCATTTCATCCTCTTTGGTACAAATTACTGCATAAAACAAAGCAGACAACTAAACACTCCTCCATCCTGAATTATTTTTGGCGTGTCACCTCTAGCTCTGTGTTGGTTAATAATGTCCCTCCTTTAAGTGATTCCCCCACCTTTTTTTTTTTTTATTCTCTAATATCTAGCATTTGCTAACAATCTGAAAAATACTGGCAGTTAGCTTATTCTAAGTCCCATATCCAGATTACAGTGCATACAGCTGCACACTGTTCAGCCTGATTTAACTTACATCAAAGTACTGGCCCTAAGCCACATGAGTTAATTAACAAAAACGAGTCTTGGCTATAACTCCACTAATCACCTTATTAAAAACAGGTAAGATCTGGAAGCCATATATCCTTCTCCAAGAACCCCCTCAACATCATGTATCATAACCATGGTGGGGAAACTTTCCTGAAGTTTATTAAAACTGCTTTTCACCTTAAATATATGACCGAATTTGGTCCTGAGTGTTCTGTGTTTACCTGACACCTTGCACTTAAAACTGTATCTACCTGGATGTGCAAGAGCTGACAGCTCAGAGAAGTGCCTTGGGAAGAACTGAGATGTAATTCTTGCAAACATTTGTGTTCTTCAAAAAATCATTTCAGTGATTCCTATAAATTTGTATGTTGAAGTCATATACAGAAAATCACTAGTTTGACCACGAATACAAATTTCATTGTGATATTCTGTCTTTTCCACGTTACACATACTGTCTGGTTATCTGTGGAATTAAAAATTTTAGAGCTCAGTGGAGTCGAACTCCTTTTTTAAATGATCTAAAACCAAAAAGAATTTTAGTCACAGGTTCTTCCAGTGCATAAATTCCAACATGCAGCTGGAACATGAAGACTCAACACATTCTGTAAATACTGAATATAATTGTAAGAATTTTAGAGTTGGATTTCCAATCTTTTTTCTTTGATGACCAGATATCCTGGTGCAGAACAAGAACAATGGAGTGCCAAACTTCCTTCCTTTGAACTCACAAATAAAGCCATTTACAGTAGTCCATATGTTTTAATGATACAAGTGAGTTTGAGAAATTCAGTCTTTTTGGTATATACAATGAAAAAATGCATTAAAAAAAATCTGAAATTTCAAGTAGAGACACAGTAATTTAATATTAACTCCTCAAAACTATTAGCTTGTCAAGGATTTTCTGTTATGTGCAACAGAATATATAATAGTCTCTTTTTGAAAAGGGAGCCACCAGAAACGATGCAAACAGGGCAATATTGAACCTCAAAAGTCACAGCAGCTTTCAGAAGAAATGTGCATATATAAATTGATTTCTACTAATGTATATAACAAAGCAAGGGATGAAAATATCAATATCTGGGGCTAGAGAGTCATACACAAAGTCCAATGAAACTGCATATTAAAAAAAAAAGTATTGTGAAAATGTATTTTGTATAGGACAATTGAATTCCAGTTACCTAAAAAGAGAACCAAAGGCATGCTGATATGACAAGCCATCTTCACCTCTGAAGTAGATGAACTGTATAATTAAATCAGATTCTTTAGGCCAATTTAATTACACACTTGACAATCCCAACATAACAGACATATTTCACATTAACATTTCCTGAGTAAATATTCCCAGAAGCCCAGCTGCATAGGATACTCCCTAACTCTTGAGTGTACTACAGGGCAGACAACCCAGCACATCTCACCCCACAATTCACATAAAGGCATTCTATGTTTGGGTCTTGGTACAGAACTTTAACCAAGCTATAAGGGAAATATTCATAAAGCTTTCTTTAGGATGATTTATAATCAAACTGCCAAAGCCAAAATGCTGGAACTTATTTCATCAGGGAAACAGCTTCAAAGCCACAGAAATACATTCTGTATACTACATGAAGCACATTAAGAGATACATCTACTTTTCTGTTAGCCAAAGCTGAAATGATCACTTTGACAAGATGAACATTAAAAATAAAGAATATTCTGATGGCCTTTCCTTCCTCTATACATATCTTTGTTACAATTCATGCATTCATGACTTTTGGTAAATTTAACTCTAAGATGAGTCATAAGTAGTATTTATATTGCATTATAGACCAAATTTTGCCATCTGCTCTCATGCTCATAACCCTCCCCCCCAACTTTTAAAGACTGTTTAACTCCTCTGCAAACCTAGACAAAAGCAGCTCAGGCTGGCAAAAATGTAGGCACATAAACCTCCAGTGATCTTCCATCATTCTGAACATAAAATAAAAAGCAATGCTGCCAAACTTTCCTGATAAAGAAACTATTTCAAAGGTGTTGGTTTGTCTAAACTCGCACACTTTTTCATCATGGACCAACCTTTCTCTTATAAATAAGCAGGGATTCAAGATTGTGGGGCACAGCTGGCCCAACAGCATGCAGATTTGAACTGGAAAAGAAGCCAAAACAAGACACTGGGCTCAGCAGCAACTGCAGCTCCAAATGCTACCAGAACCAGTCCTTTCCTGCCGGACGTGGACACCTCCCAGCAGATCTCAGTCTTCGACCTCCAGGGTTCATAACAAAGCAGATGGGAAACACCTCAGACAGCGAGGACCGGGAACTGCAGCGGCCACAGACCTCGTGCACTGCCCCCTTCTGCCACTGCTGCGTGCAATTTGCACATGGATGGGCACACAGGGAGGGCAGGAATGCCACAGAGCTCCGCTGAGAAATCCAGCAGAGCTCCTCTGCTGGTGTCGTGGGACCGACGGATGGAACGTTTTACGTCATACAAAGAAGTAGTAACAGATCCCTAGAAAAGTTCACATATAAAATACTGTACAGATGGTCACATAGATTAGGAACAAGGCTGAGGAATGGCTTTAACTAGGCTACCAATGCATTAGCAACAAGTACAAAAAAATTAAAGCATGTGCCTACATTTCTCGCTGCGCATTCCCAGGGGTGTATCCAAGAATGACGGGCTAATTAAAATGTGGGCCTTCTCCACACTGCCAGTAAAATTAGGAAATGCAAAATTTTAGTGGTAGCATTTCCCTGTTTTCAATTCACGTTGAATATCAATTGCCCACTTGAAGTTTCGTACCTCAATCTGTACGTTACAAAAATGAAACTTTTCTTGATACTAGAAAGCAACATTTTCCTTGTAAACCCAACACTGCAGAATTACAGAAGCAGCCAAGAGGTCAACGACTAGCAGGGAGAGCAACACCACAAAGCACATTGTGTTTTAATTTATAGGAATAAGCGGCCTCTCCTCTCTTTTCTTCCAGATATTGGTTTTGCTATCTCTTTTTGTGAGAGGTGGTCTATCCCTTTTTTTAGCAGAAAGGATACCAGATTCATGACTTCCTGATACAGATTTTTTTCTTAGACCTTCCTCATCATGCTGTTCTACAACTGGCCCATTCCCTCCTTCCATAATGTGCCTCACAGCCTGGTCCTCTGGAGTGCAAACAGTGGTCCCGCTTTCACTGCTACTCAGATCCAGATCTTCCAAGTAAAGAATCTTAGAATGTGGCATACTTTTAATGAAAGTTTTCTCTCTCTCCAGTTTCCTGCTAGGATGATGCTCATTCATGTCCACACCAGAGTCCAGACTGGTATCATTACTCTCTGTTTTTCTGCCTTTTTTCAGATCTATGAAAGAATGCCTCACTTGAGCTATTGGTTTCCCGTCCAAGGACACAAACCACGCTCGAGGGTGTGGAGATGGTTTTCCTTTGGAGAGTTCCAGCAACGTTTGTTCTGAAATTCCTTGGAGTTCAGATGAAAACGGAGTCATTACAACTGCTTCATTCAACGTCCCGGGAACAGAGACAGACTCCAGCAAGCTGTTGGTGTAGCGGCCCCAGTTGGAGGTTTGGGAAGGCAGGCCCTCTTCCCCATCCAGGGCACTGCTCTCATCCCTGCAGGCAGCAGGCTGGGGGTGGGAATGCCCTGGCATTTTCGGCAGTGTCTGCATGTAACTGTCCCGGTCCATGGGCTCCATCATGGGGCCATACACCAGCTGCCCTTTCCTTGGCAAAGTGGCTGATTTAGCAGGATGTAGTTGTTCCGGGGAGTGGAAAAGGTCAGAGGGCTGAAGAATAGCAATAGGTTGATTGTAAATATGCATGAGATGTTCAGGGATATGGGAAAGCCCATACATCTCCTCTTTCACTGAAAGGTACCTGTTTGGGTCTGGAATGTCCCGGGGAGCCTGGGAAATAGCACTGTTACTGAGCTTTGGCTGCTGTAAATGCCTCACTCCAGCACTAGGCTCCAGTGAATGGGCTGAACTTCTGGACGGGCCAGTCTGACAGGATGACTGGTAAGAAGCATCCTCGGTGTAGATTTTAAAGTTGTCCCGTGATTTTCCATCTTCTGTGTCTGTGGACACCCTTCTCGGAGGGCTGTACGAGGAAATCTTCGGTGTGTACAGTTGGGAGTTATCCTCCAACTTTAAAGAGCCTTTGACAGCGTTGATGTGATTTATGTGAGTTGTTGATGTTGTCTGGTCTCTTTTGATGACCTCCAGCTTAGTCGTGTTTTTCTCCTTCTTTTGTGTCCGATGACATTTATCCCTATGGAAAAGAGATGCAAAGTGACTGCAGAGCACACTAGGAAATATTAGACTGTTCACCAACAAAGCTGAAGACTGCATTTTGATTAAAAAATTACAGTGTAATGTGACATCACAAACTTAAAATGAAGTTCTGTAATAACAGGAATTTTTGAAGAAATATTAGGCTACACATTATTGCTAATGAAACAAGTCTCAACTTCAAAAGACTATTTTATCAACCTTAAATTCCCTTCCTGACAAACTTACTAGAGTTTCTCTTTTTGCTTACCTGCAGTAACAGAGAAGAACAGCAAAAAATCCGACGATGATGACAACAGTACCTCCCAGTATGGCCGTAAGGAACACTGTGTGATAGGCTGTTATGTCCTTGGAAACTGCACTAATAATGGATTCTAGATTGTCAAACAAAACCAAACAAGAATTAGATCTCAAAAACAAATAATTCCTCTTGATGGGCAGAGCTGGAGCTAATAAATTGAACTGTCCTTTTCCAGTGATTTTGAGTTCCATTGCCTCTATGCTCATCCTTCCCTTTTCACCTTGCTATTTCAGCAAACTAGAAAATATACAGTGGTTACAATATAATGCACCTTCAAAGGCTCATCTCAAGAACTAAAGCCTTACCATGACATCTACTTGATTCCGGTCAGATGACATTTGTATTAATTGTCCAAACTGACTTAGAAAAATGGTCTTTTTTAATGATGTCTAATGATGTCTTATGTTTACAATTAGACAAACTATTTCTCTGATAGATCCCTTCATGCTAATTTGCAACACATGCCACAAGTCTACATAAAATGGGTCTGTTTTACCCAAGACTCATGTTCTTGTTGTATCTCCTCCTGTCGCACATGACCCTCAGCAGCAAGGGATCAAATCCTGCTCCTTTTTAGATTTCCCTGGTCACAGCTCCCTTGCTGGCAGTTGTGGCAGTACCTCTGGTTCCAGGCAGTGGAGCTGCTATCCAGTAGCCCAGGTGCTGAGCAGTGTATGTCCACACCAACTGACCATCTGCCTCCTTCACCATTCCCAGCCCGCGGTTCACCCAAGCGCCTGCAACAACAAGGACAAAATATTGCACGTGCCATGCAGAATTCTCTTAGCCCTCAAACCATCAGCCATGAAGCTATTACCAAAAATACACAAGAAAAATTGAAACTTCTGACCTAGACACTATTTATTCCACACCTTTATCTAAACGTGCAAACTTTCTGTGCTCACATTTTCATTGCAAATGTCCCTCTGTGGTCATTTACTCTGAAACAAAGCATCAGCATTACTTACCAAAGGTAAGCTTAATATCATTCTTTTTCTGTTAATAAACATTTTTCATAGATATGCACACAGATAATTTGAGAAATGAGCTTAATATGAGCTTAAGCATGTATGAAGGCCAAGACTGAAAAATGAAGGAGCAGGTAACTGAAGCATATGAACACAATTTTAACACTGGCTAGCAGAATTTAGTGGGAAACCACTTTAATCTGATAAACTACAATAGAATAAAAAATGTTTGTCTTGAATGTTTCTCTCCTCCTCCCTGCCCCAAGGCAATAACAGTTCAGTTAGCCCAAGGAAGGGCTGTTGTTAGGACACAGATTCCACACCATCTGTTTGGACACTCAAAGGACAGGTATTATGGTATGCCAGCTTCTACAATTAATAAAGCATCCCTTAGAAGAGACAGAATTATATTTAACTCACTTGAATACATTTACTGTGGGCCATCTGTGAAATTCTAAGGACATGAAACAACCTCATATAAACAGCCTTATATTTCCAACAAATATAAATACAGAGAGGGAGAGAGAACCACCAGCTTTTTTAAAAGAACAATAACCACAGCATCAAAACTATAAGCTGGAGCTTATATGAATTTAATCCAATTTTCTTCCAGGACCCTTCTTTTCAGCAAAGCAGAAAAGTAAATATCTGCCAACCAGGATGTAAAGATGAGAACTGACACCTGCCACAGATGCAAACACACACAGGGACACACAGAGCAAATATCACCTGGCAGTAAAACATGCAGCCTTCTCCTGCTGCTGGTGATGGCTGGCAGAGGGGAAGAGCAGCAGCAACCACCCAAAGCCCTAGAAGTGCTAGTTTCTCAGCTACCTGATAAATCTCCTGTCCAGAGTTGGGAGAAAGACCAGCTGGAAAAGTCTTCCATCCCTACCTCTCTTACAGACAGACAGATCCTCAAATTCTCTGTCCTGCCTACTCTAGGGCAAGTGGACACTACCCTGCACGACTATTGCTTTACAAATACAGACAGTGGGCTACTTACAGGCAGATAAAAACCAGCATAAAACACCACATACAGAAGGTAAAAAAGTTTTCTAGGTGTCCAGAAGTTCTATCCTGATTGAACAAATCTATAAGTAGTTATACAGTCTTTGCTGTCCTCTTCAGTAAATTACATCTCCCCCCAATATACTCCATAGAAAATACTGGGTATTAAGGAAAACATTGAAATGTGACTTATGAGTAAGCTCATTTTCTCTTGATTTACTGCCATTCAAACAGGAGGATATAATTCTCAATTTAATGTTGCAATACAAGCTTTCTGGTTTTGTGTAATTTTATTAAAAACCACAAAGTACTTTTAGCGCTAATACAGCAAAATATTTAGAGAGAAGGAAGCCACATTCAGTATCCTCCAATAAATTCTGCATTCACAGCAGCTGGAATATAATTACCAAAGCTCATTTTCCAGCAACAGTCTCAGCACTACTACACTTGCAGTAACCCCAGGGAACACTGCTTCTGTCTTCTTCCTGGTGCATATGGATCAGCCCACACCACACACAGACACGTTCCCTTCCCGCTACCAATATGGACACGGGAGCTCTGATTACCATCCCCACACATCACCCAAGGACTTCAGGGTTTAAACGTGTGGCAGTGTCCTGCTGGGGACATCCCACATGCCACAGGTTGGATGCCAGAGCCTCATTATTCCATGCAGCAGGAGCTCTGCATTCAGCTCAGATGGGGGCCTACTGCTACTTATGGATGCTCTGGAATGCTTGCTGGAGAGCTGAGCTGTTCAGCTCCACAGGTTGTCTCTACAACCTTCATTTGTCATTTTGCATGTGTCAAATCAAAAGGTAAAACTTAAATAAACGTATTTAGGTATAAAAATTCCAGAAGAGTGAATACAATTGCAAATTTTCACTGTAGAGAGGAGGAAATGGAAGAAAACGTGGAAGTTAAGAGTAATGCCCCAGCAGTTCCTCTCCTTTTTCACAGCCCTCCTTGTGCTCTCCTCAGCAAGCAGCAGTGTGAACACCACCCCTCAGTGAGCATCCATTACAAATGGTTTACCTTTATGGAACCTCTGTCAGAGGAGGAAAAAGCCAACTGGTTTTATTTTTATGGGTCAGTATACCATGCTCCCTGCTCTTGCCCTACCCCAGGGCCAACATGCCTAAGTAGGGATGCTGAGTAGGCCCCTCAACACCACATACACACTTTGCACTGGTTTATACTCTAACCCGACCCTGTGCCAAGTTGGTCCAGTTCTGTCAACTTTTTATTTTAATAACATCGTTGACTTAGCTTTGTTTAGTAAGTTAAAACAACTCTGCACAGGTGGGCACAGGAGCTGGCAAAAGTGGCTGTGGCAGTAAGCAATTAAAACCCCTTGTGTTATTTTACCACATCAGACTAAAACCCTTTCTTTGATGAAAAATGCCATCTTGTACCATCAGTTGCCCCTCTGAAGCCTCCCAAGTGTTTAGACAGAGTTAACCTTCTATGCCAAAACTTATCTTATTTACTCTTTCCCCACAATTTTTTATTAGCATGTTCTTAATTCAAATTCAACCAAAGAACTAAAGGTTAGTTGTTCTTTATTAGGATGATCCATTTCTTTCTTGAACATGTAAACAACACTTGGTTGGAGTTGGTGTCCTCTCCTGTCCTTCCAACAGCTGAATAAAAACTTTTTGCCTTAACAAGGAGCAGACACACCTCTTCACTCACTTGCAGTTTTCAAGACCAAGTGTGATGGCAAGTTTAAGGTGCACTGTAATCAGGACACTAATGCACACACACCTAACACAGGACACCTAAAAGGGTTAAGTGTACACAGCTCATTACTCACTCTTGACTAAAATTAGACATGAAGGGATGACAAAAGGTTCAGAATGACTAATCCCCAGCCTCCTCTTTGCATGTACACTGCAAGAACTACGTTGTTCCCTTTGATAACTCCTATTTCCCCTTCATTTCACTTTCTCAATTGCTTTTGTTAACTGAAGTAACATCTATTCCAGTTCGAACGTCAAAGCAGCTTCAGAGCTACGCTCTAGGAAACAAAGCAGCCAAACCTTCAATTCTGACTGGTTTGCTTTTAAGAAGGCATTCACAAAATTACCAGGCTTAAAATTTATCGTCACCTAAAATGTACGTTCCGTGAATACTTAGACTCCCATACAAATAAAAATCCAGTATACTAAAAATTTGGGCAACAGGAATGCTAATGAATTTTACCAAAGTTTTTTTTAACTAGTGAAAGCAGGGAAATACTTCTGAACAATTCAAGCTAGTCCATTTAAAAAAAAAAAACCAAAAACTGAACCTCTAATAGAACTTGTTGACCACCACTTCATATCTTAGTGCTATCGGTGTTCCCTGACCCACAGTGTCACGTGTCCAAAAACAAAGGCATGTGTTAGAAGGCAGAATAACAAATAACTCAGCCCACTTACCAGTTTTCATATCAAATGTCCATGCAGGTACAGCATCTCCTGGTTTTACAGTAGTTGAGGGGAGAGGAAGTGTAATCTGAATGGGACCGTTTACTTTCAGTTCTTTCCCAGTCAAAAGAACATTTACACATATGGCAGCAAGAGGAGTTAACTCCATGCTTTTAAAACCTAAAGGTGAGAAAAAGCTTGTCTGTAATTCTCCAATTACAGTTTGTTTTAAAAAAAATATTTAGGATTAAGAATCTATCCTCATTGTAACTAAACTCAAGTCCTCCTCCACATCCAGCTCTGCAGTCAGCTGTCACCAACTCGGTCAAATAAACAACTTTTCTTTTCTTTTGGACTTCCAAAATCTTATGATTAAAATAAAACCCAGTGCTGTAAGAGAAAGAGACTTGTGATATCGAGGTTCAATGCTGACTGCAGAACTAATGATGAAGTAAAACACAGTTTGGGCAGAAGAAGGGTTTTTCCCCTCAGATAATCAGATTACAAACTAGCTACCTCATGTGAAAGATAGATAAGACAAGAATTTTTGTACAGTTGCAATGTACATAACATTGAATCAAACCGAAGATGTGTGCAAACTCTCCTGTAAGGATTAAGTTTCCAGAGTGGCAGTTATAATTAACTGAATCATGAGGCTGGTCAAAGCACTCAAAAGGAAATGTTTCATATACAAAGCTTTACAAAGCAGTCTGAAAGTTTGTTTTCCTTTCACCAGTTTGCAAATACTTCAGAATGCACAATATGACAAGATGGTGAAAGAAGCTGAAAGAGAATTAGCAAGTAGCAGAATAATGTTAAATCCAGGCAAGCTGTTCGAAGCTGGTTGTGAGAGAACTCCTGGCACATCAGATATCAATTAGCTTCCACCTGCCCTAAAAGGAAGCCTATTCTTTTAGGAGTGTATGAATAATTTAAAACACATGCCAGACAGATTGAAAGGAAAACTCAAAGAGGAGAAACACTGCTTATTCTCTTGTGCTTCTTCCCTTCTGCTTTCCATTTGAAGAGGTAAAATATAGATGAGAGATTTTAAAATATGCACGTCAAAATATCAGTATATATGATGAATTTAATTCAATTAATATTAAAGAAGAGAGCATGTCAAGTTCAAATAAGCCATGTAGTGGCCTTCTCATGCACTGCAATGAATTTAAGAGCCTCATTGCTTCAGATCTGCTGGGAATAGAAAGAACAAAAGAAAGATGGGACTGCACACAGTACAACCTAACAGAGATTACTGTGTTTAGGCACATTGGAAAACTATCTGATAGAATACTAATACTAAAAAATACTAAAATACTAAACAAACACTAAAGAATCTGTTGGTAGAACAGCAGGGTGTTATGACTCATGAAACCACTTAGTGCTTCTCCAGTGAAACAGATGCACAGAAAACATGATTCCAGTTGTGCTCTGTGACACAATTGTGCAAGTGGCCACTTGGTCCCACACAGGCTTGCACAGACTGACTGTGAGCCAAGCAAGAGATTCCACACAGTCTTTGTGAGGGGTGTAAAGCTCCTAGAACCAATCACTGCAGTGAAAATGCAGAAAACCCCAACTGCTGCAGTTTCACTGATTGCTTTATATTCATCTAGCTTACGCTGGCCATAATCTGATTTTTAAGGTGTTTAAACCAATTCCACAGCCTTGTGAAATCCTGAACGTACATGTTAAAAGTAGACTCTGAGGGAGTATTTCAGTGCAGCAAGGTATGTTATGTTCTGTACTCCACGAAACAAAAGAAAAGAGTGATATTGCTTATTGTGTTTATAGCTTACTCCTAAGGAACAAAGCTTTGTGATACAATACAATGGAAGCAGGTTCAGGACCTTTTAAATTAAGCAGATGTTTTTCTGAAACACTGGACACTGATATGCATTGTAATTTGAAGATTTCTATTTTAAAAAAAATTCTTAAACAACATATTTACATACCTGATTTATTTAGAAGAATTCCTGTTGTATAGAGAAAGCTGTCCACTTTCAGAAATTGCTCTGGCACTGTCAGATAGGCTGTAACATTTGTAATATGGTGATTTGTTGGAAGCTTTATTAAAAATTTTGGAAATTGAACACTTGGCTGAGATTTGGCATCTGTAAAAGAGTAATATTTTATCTTAGCCACGGTAAAACACACCAACAGTGTTTTTATTACCCTTCAGAAATCCACTTAGCATAACAACCCGTTTTCACCCATTTTTTCCATGATTTGTGCATTTCTAGTCTAGCACTTGTCACACCCTCACATAGAAATCCATAATTAACTGAAAATCTGGCTCACAGTAGACAGGTATTATATGAGAATATGAACATGCCTAATTTTTGTTGGTGTGTGTACAGATGGTTATCACAAAGTGTTTAATTAGAGTCTTCATACACTCAACTTACCAGACAGTTTTCCAGTAATTAAGACAGTATCTTCAAACAGCCATATATTAGCTTGATTTTGTGGGAATAATGAAAGTGTCACGGACGAGTATACTGTGGAAAATGATAATATCTGTTACAGAGTGCAACCAAAACAAAAAATCCTCTAAGACCCCTGATTCTGAAGGAATACTGAACAGAGCAATTAAAAAAAAAACAAAGAGCATATGAAGACTGAATAAATAAATTACTCCTGTTGTCCAGAGCAGGAATTTTAGTGTTTAGGCAGGAAGAATTCTGTTGAATGTTTCCTGTCTTATGCCTTCTATGGAGGCTAGAATTCTTAAAAGTCTATTTCTTTAAAAAAAAAAATCATGTGCCTTTTTAAGAGTATGCAATAGTTAAAAGGAAAACTTGTGAGGAAACACTTCCGAAAGGGAGGTGTAACAACAGGTTGTACCTGTTATACAGGACACAAAGCATTGGCACTCCAGGAATTACTCAAGCCAACAGGATTTTTTGTCTAAACACACTACCAGCTCTTTGCTAACTCTAGGCAAACAATTTCTCAGAATTCACTCTGTATCACCACATAACCTACTCAGAGCTAAAAAAGGGCTATTTTCTGTCTTCCGTTAACAAGAATTTTGACAAGACTAACAGATCCTTCACCCTTAGATGCACACTGACATGCTCTGCCTCCCTTGACTGACTTCACTCCACGTTGAGCTGACAGCAACTACCCAGACAGCTTAGTGGAGAAATTTAATTACAGGCAGATCGAGTTTAATAATAGGATTGTAAGATGCTTACGCACTTGGCATCCTCGCAGTCTTCCAAGGCAGAGGTGTCAGCATGTAGCCATCCTTGTAGGAGACAATGGTGAGGCTTAATCCCAGTTTGTAGGGCACTTTTATTAACACTGCTCCATTGTTTCCAGTGAGAGTAGAGTTTGTCTTCGTGTAGTTCACAAACACTTCCACCACCGCTTGTCGCAGGTACTGGTGACTGATGATGTCATTGACTTGGACTTTGAGGGTAAAAACAGATCCTGTTAACAAAAAGAGAAGACAGGAAGTCATAATACATCATAATTAAGGATCTGATTTAAATTTGTAAAGAAGTCCCAGAGTTCATGTCTTTGCTGTTCATCCACTCTACAGTGGACCTCTATCTCTGGCCAGAATGAGGGATAACCTTGCAATTTTAGACCACGGGGAAGAAGGAAGCAAAAAGCCTGAAGATGGGGCACAAAGGTGTCAAAAAGTGCTTATCAAACTCAGCAAATATAATACTTAACCAATTAAACAAAAAAAAAAAAAATCAAACCCAAAACCCCAAACCAAACAAAAAAAAATCTTCCCTTTTTTGTTTAAGCTTGAACAATGCACCTGTGACAATGTGAGATTTAATGTGCTCTGCAATATCACACTGATAACACAGATGGTGTTGTTACCCAACCCTTGGCTCGGGTCACACATTTAAAGAGGCACCTTGAGTTTCTGAAAACAGGAACCTAATGTCTTACAGGCAGTGGGATAACATTTTTGTATTTACATGTGTAAAATTATTATACAGTAACAGAATGCATCCAGACTGTTTTAATCTACCTTCTCCCACCAGACTTACACTGGGCTAGTTTTCACCTTCCTGTATTGCACCTTCTAAACAGTATTTTTCTACTGCTAATTAGGGGATCTGCTATTCCATACAATAGCCAGTGTCCTGCAGAGATCATAATGACAGTGACTGAGCAGCGTGTTGACAATAATAAATCCACTCAAACAACAGTGTCAAGGTTGTTTCTCTCCCACTTTGATTGTAAATAAACTATTAGGGAGCCTTTTCACAGCAGGTACATGCAAAAGGACAGAATTCCACATTATTTCCAGGTAGGAATTAAGTTATTATTATAAATGAAAATCTCTATGGACCACTGTTAAAAGTATTTGAAAAAAACCATCAATTTTCCAGTATTTTGGCTACAGACATGCTACTATACAATATCACTGCACTGCTTTATACCCTAATATTTTCAAATACCTTCATTACGAACACACATTTCTATTTAGGTCAAATGTCAGGCTAAGTTACTGGAACTTATCTACCTAAAATCATAGTTCCATTTCATTTTGTTACCTCCACTATAATTGAGATTGACACTGCACCAAGAGATTACTACCACTGACCTTGATTTAAATGAATAGGCCTTGAGAAGCCGAATGCAACCCATCAAAAAAAACCCACTATGCAGTGAAGACATCCAAGTTAGGCCTCTCTGAACCAAGTATTTCTTTAGGTCTATTGTATGCATGGGGCACCCCATATATTAATGCAAAAAATGGCCTGCAGACAACAAAAGCTCCACTGGCCTCAATTTACTATTTATCACATACACAGCAAAACCTTACCAGCTGTGCCAGATTGATTCTCTACAGTGTTATATAAAAATCTACATTTCCTTGTGCAAATTAATCTATACTTTCACAAAAAGGAAAAAAAATCTCAGTGGTACTCAATGTATTTGACAGAAAATGCACGATAATCTTAGAACAATGTCGTCTGACTTATTTTTCCTTACGTGTGATATTTCAAGAATAAAATTGCTTTAAATTGCTGTGCTAGAGGGGTTTCAAATCACGTCATGATTGGAAAAAAAATTTATGTCATGTCAGCAAATTATGGTTTCTAAACAGCTCTTCCAGGCATCGATCCAATTACACACATACTTGCATCATTCCAGTGGTTTCCAAAACTTGAAAAACAGGTCCTTTGCCCTTAGTTAAAAGGCTACTGAAGAGGGAAAACAGGCTGTGTACAATATTCTTATCCAGGAATCACTTGGAAGCCAAGAGTATCTCATGAAATGGTATTTAAAAAATAAGAAATTCAAGCTCATGCCAGTAGGAACCAATACCAGAAATGCCTGTTCTGAACTAGTATTTTAACAGCTGGGATCAAGTCAGGAGAAAAAGAGCCTGGTCATAAATCATAAAAAAGTTTTGCCTTAAGACACAGAAAAATTAAAACCTAGAATGTATTCAGAAAGATATTTTCTCTCCAATCATTTCTCACTTTTAATGTGTATTTCCCATTTCCTGCTATCAGAAAGCCCAACAGAAGAAAACAGGGATGGGGCCAATCGCCACAGTTCCCTTCCAGCTGTTAGTAAATTCAAGGGTTGTTTTGTGCACAAATATTTCTTCCTCTCATCTCCTTCAGTTACAGCCATATATAAAATCCCACTTTCTTTGGGTTGAAAAAACCAGAGTGTAAAACTGCCGAAAGCTGTACAGTTTTCATTAGCAAATGAAACAGGGAATGACAAATATCACTGGCTGCTTTTAGCCACACTCAACTTTGATTACTTCCTTCTCCTGTGGGTATAGGAATTGCCACAGCTTTTCCCAGAAGGGCTGCCGTGTCTGGAAGGCTGTTGGGAAGCCGCAGATGTGTGGCTGTAAATGCGGACTGAAATCCCGGGGGTTCCTGACACGGCTCTGCAGTGAAGGCTCTGCAGGAGTCCCTGCCTGGGTGTGACTGTCACACCACGGCAGCAGCTCCTCCAGTGCAAAACACTCACTTCATGCCCAGTAATGTTCAGGCACAGATTAAAGGAGACTCAATCCCTGGCTCTTGGTGCTTTTGGCCTTATCTTTTGTGCTAACACAAGAGCCTTCCTGACAAGAGCAAGTATGCTGATGGCTGGGAGTTGTGTCCTCCCTGCAAGTAATGCAGATGAGCAAATCATTTGGATTTTCTAGTATCAAGCAGAATATACTCTGCCAGCGAGTCACTCGAAATTTGCGTGCAATAATTTTGGAGAGACCTTTTTTTTTAATCGAATCTTTCCATTCCTCAGCAGTAACAGTACAGAAGACACAAGCACACACTGTGCCCCTATCCAAATGCTTGGGAAATTATAGGTTAAAAATCCTAGTCAAAAAAAGTCAGAATCCAATAATAACAACAACTTCCCACTGGCACAGCCACGCTCACTATTGTTCTGTATAAAATGGAGTGTACCAGAGTGTCCCACAGAGTATCCCACCAGTAGCTGCAGTCTAGGGAAAAGCAAAACAACCATAAGGTCCTAAGAGCTCAGACTGTGTGTGCAGTGCTGGTCCTACAGCCCTGACCTGTGTCTTTCCAAACCTGACAATTCTCTCCTTAAACCAACCCCCTCACACACCTTTGTGTGCATTTAACATGCCAATTTATCACACATTTAATGGCACTGAGCTATTAACAAGGTCATATTAACACTTGTGACTTCTGATTTGCAAAGATCTTAATTTGCAAGTCCTTAAGGACACTTTTAAGTCTCAAATATGACAGTGGCTGCCATTGGATATTTTAACCACACTAAAATATACCCAAAAAAACCATTTCAGTTGCAAAAAAACCAAACTGCAGGTTATGTGTTTAACAAAACCAAAGCTGAAAACTTCCACAATAGTTGAAACTTGTGCTTTTTTTCCTGGTCACTAACACGTGCCAAACACAAGTGGGTCAGCTGCATCTCAATATTAAACAGATTTGACAGAACTCCCACAACTAGAAGAAAGAACTCAGTCTTCGCTAATTTGATTTGTGCTGCCTCAGAGGAAGGAGATTCCTCTCCTGGCAGGTCCCCTGGAAATGCCAGCTCCTACAGCATTTACAACCTTTGCTGAAAACATCCACACAACTGCAGCAGTTATATACACAGAGGGAAACAAAGCCTTCCACCACATTTAGCTACTTGAGAAACATCCTGGCCATTAAAATGACACCTTATTTCTTTGAGCAACACCACGAAATACCTGGTGTTATATGAATTTGGATATGAATTTGGCTTCATATCCCAGAATTAAGGCAAAGAACTGCTTGGAACTGCAAGCTGGGTACAAACGTAACAGCGCGAAAAATCTCTATTATACCCCGTGTAATTTGTTCTTAATTCTTCCTTGCAGATAAGTGTGTCATCTGGTTACCATTTCTGTGAGATTTAATTAACACAGCCAAGGCCAATACAGGCACCAATACATTCCAAACTTCACGTGTCATTAACTGTGAGACATGGCAGTGAACACACACACACACAGGGCAATGCCTGGAACAATTCCTACACATCCTGCAACTCAGTCCTAAATCCCTTTTCCTATTTATCTCCCTATAGCCAAAAAGGTTCTACACGTTGAAGGAGGCAGTTACTCTTCTCAAACACACAGACAACTACCCAATTAAGCAATTATCTTATGGATTGAACAGTAACTACAATTAAATTATTCATTAGTTCCTTCCTTCGGAGGAGATTCCTCTCACCCTTGCCTAGAGGTGTTTAAACCCCCACCAGAAAAGTCAAGCACTTCATGAATTTCATGGAAACTGCCTACACAGCTCTATCAGGCTCCCCACTAACCAGGCAGAGAAAAATGTGGGCTGTGCAATTTGCTTGCTCTCAGCTTCCTGAGCAATCCTTTTCTCATCTTTTACATTCATAGAACACCACATTTTTTGGCTTAATACAATTAGGGGTGTGAAATGTGCACCGACCTGTAAAGAAGAAACCACGAGTTATAAGAATATCAGGTTTTACTACAGATGCAGCATTGCAATGGCTATTGCCACGGGGGGTGGAAATCAATGAAACATATAAAGTACACAGTCAACATGCATCTGGCTTTAGTAAAAAAAGGCCATGTAAAAGCAATCCATCCTCCTGCCCACAGAAATCAATCATTACTACTTAAAATTCCCTTAAAACTACACTAGCACCAGTGACAAACTACAAAAGCATATCTAGAAAAATTAAAAGCCTGTTACACCTTTAAAGCTCATTAAAAAATCCCCGTCTGTGATGTTGTGGAGATGATTTAATGCCGGCCCAAGCCCTCCTCCCCACAGCACACCCTCAGTCTGCAGTTACCTTTGTTCTTTATTAATGCCCAAAGCACTGACACAGGGTGGATTTTCCTGCCTTGCAGAGTGCATTAACATGCCCTAATAGGTGACCCCTAAACTCCAATAACTATTTTATGGCTGTGCTGTGACAGATATTGTCAGATA